ATCTTTTTTTTTCCAAAATGTTCTGTGGTAGCTCCAACAGCGCCCTCTATTTCCGCACCTCCTCATTTTTTTTTTATCAAAGAGCACCAAGGAATGGGAAATTGCACCAAGGCAAATGATCGAAAGCACCAAGGCAAATTATGGAGGACACCAATGTACATGAGGACACCAAAAAAGCAAAATAGTACCCCACCTTGTTTGTACAATCCAAGCTTGAAGAAAAAAAAAGCTGCGTGGCCGCGTCAATTCCGGAACTTTGGTCTGACCAGAGCCCGAATTTTTTTTTTTTTGGCCTTATAGTGTATTCATAATCACACACACACATGACCTTTCCTATGGGTAGATGTGTCCAAAGTCTTTGTGATAATGTCATATAAGATTAGGTCATGAATGAGCAATGCAAAGTAAACTTTGCCATCCAGAGGTTGTTGGAGAATTAAAGGTAAATGGGTCATTCCACCGGGTTGGGAAGCAGTGCATGTTACATCCATATATTTGGTTAAATTATTAAAAGTATCAATGCATTCTAAACAATTGCTCAACATAATATGTGTCTTAAGGCGTTTCAATACTTGAGAAAGTTTGAAATCATTTGAAAGTACCGGTACTTTGACAAAAATATGAGCAAAAATGTATTAATTCGGATGTAACATTGACACCGTGTCAATGTTACATCATGTAACATTGGATTGGATTCCGCCCCTTTCCCCCTAAGATCTCGGCCAGCGAGTAATGAAAAATTATGAAACTCGGTACATGCATATAGAACAACTATTCATTACAATACCTAAGAAATTTCATGACTATAGGTCAAAGGGTTTTGGAAATAGCTAATTAATTATTCATAATCATATGCGCGAATGATAATTCGCTCCGTGTACACTACGTATATGAGGAAATTCAGTTTTTCACTGCGCGGCAGCCCGTGGTTCGAATTTTAGGTTTTTGGTATCAAAAGATGCGCAAGGCTTGAGGCTACATAAGTCAGAACAGCTCGGGTCGCGAAAAAAAGTTGGGGGGTAAAAGAAACTCAGGGATTAGTGTTAAATATAAAGACAAAAATAATCAAAATGGTAATTTCGTGTGCATTACAGTAGTATGCAGTGCACACATACCTGTACACATGTAGCTTAGAACAAATTTCTTGAAAATTATCTTCCCTAAATGTTGTGAATTGAGTTCAGTTACATTGTATCGCAGTGTCCTACGTAATATTAATAGCATGTTATTGTGTACATGTAGAGCCCCTTTAATGAACAGCTTGTGTGTGTGCGATGCATTCAGTGTCAGATTATGAACCATACAAGAAGAATCTCAGTTATTTGCGCCTGGCAAGAAAAAACGGAGCCAGGGATGGTCTCACAAATGAGAAATAAGCCACAGGCAGGGATCGTCTCAGAAAATAACCCACAATGGTCACACACAGAGCTATGATAAATTATATCATGGAGCTACATGTATAAAAAGGCTTGACACATGTACCGGTACAATGTGTGTACTGCACTTATTTTCATGAATGGAGGTGTGTACCAGTGCATGCACATGCACTTTGCTTGGGTCATATGGGTCATGTGGATGATGATTTATGAAAGGAGAATTCCATATTGTAGACCATATGCAAAACGAAAGGTTTAACAGAGTAATTGCAGAATACCCCGCCACGCGAAAATTACCCCTAAAAATAAATGGCTGCGCAGTCGGAAAAGTACATGTCGGGAAGTGGATACGCGGATTATTTTATACGGGGTGGAGTTGAACGCTGGAGGGTCTAATGAGGGCGCTATTTTCCTGTAATAAGAAATGCGGCTAGCATAGCAGGACAACGTGAATTGAATGGGGAGCAGGGGGGAAATGTCCAAGTCCAAAGTAGGTGCCAGGAAGTGGATACGCGGATATAGGGGATACGGGGTGACTTTATTTAGATATTTTTAGAACGAAGCATTCATATCCATGGTTGAAATAACAAAGGCAGAGACCGCAACGTGAGTTGAATGGGGAGCAGGGGAAAAATGTCTAAGTCCAAAGTATCCGCGTATCCGGATACGAGGTGGGATAGGTGAGTGGCGGGGTATTCTGAAGTACATGTGTGTACATTTGTATTTAAGTATACTGTACATACATTGTGTATGACATGGTATAAGGTACATACATTTTCACTGTTTTTCTTGCTTGACATGCTTGAGTTATACATGAAGGGTCATGAGTGCAGCTAATGGGGCAGTGTGCATCACACGCATGCATATTATTTTGTTCAGCTGTCATACATGTGTAAAAATTTGGCCTTGATCATCAATCCTCCTGCTACATGTATTTAAACAGTCACAGACAGTCAAAATTCCCATCCACTTCCCCTGCTGTACTTTTAACACAGGCTAGTCACCTGCTATCTGATGTGTACATGCATTGCCATACCGTACACTGCACAGCTACATTGTACATACATGCATTGTCAAGTACATGCATGTACATGACCTAATATGGTACACATGGGTACCACTACCAAGTACAATGTATCGGTGTGTACATACACACAGCAGTTACAAATTGTGTGTGTTTTACAACGTATGTGGACATGAAACCCATTCAGACACAATTATGCAGGTCTGTGATGCACAAGGAGTTAAGGGTACTACATGTATTTAGGGGTGGTAGAAAACGGAGATTTCAAAATCTGGTTATTTATCCTAAAACGGAGATTTCAAAATCTCGAAAAAAAGTAAGACTGCTGCAAACTGCTTACTGACTGGATGGACCTGAAATATATAGTTCGCAACGTCAGGCCACATTAATTTTTAGATTTCAAAATCTTGTTATTTATCCTAATCTTACTATAATTCCAGGAATCTCTGTCTGTCTGTCTGTCCGTCGATTATCTTCAGAACCGGGCACCATATGAAGTTGAGAATCAGCGGGTGTATTGCTCGGGGCCACAGAATGTGCAGTGCCAAGTTTGAAGTGGTTTGGATGAGCGGTTCTCGAAAAAGCTGCAAAAAAACCAGTATTTTCGGAGGCAAACGTGGCAGCTTAGAACATAACACCACGCACTGCCGTTCTTTTCAATTGTTTATGTCATGTTTAAGCTAAAGCGCGCGTGCTCAATATGACGCAAACAATGCAAAAAGAGTGGCACGCGCACGTGCATTGTAGGGCGATACCATTGTCCAGTATGGGTGAATAGCACTGCATACCATGTTTTCGTACGTGTACACGGGCACGTTATTTTTGCAGTCGACTAAGCGACCATTGTAGGTGGTCGAACTTCAAACTTGGCACAAACTTTGACGTAAGTGTGCGTTGTTTGCACGAGCAGTTCTCAAAAACTGCAAGTATGCAACCTATACCAGCGGCAAAGCAATTTGCGTTTCCCAAACATGCACATTTTAGACGGGCACTGCACTAGTTTCTTTCAAAGAGAATAAGAGTTACAATGTATGTTTCATCAGATGTTCCCCATTCAGCTCAGAGTCATGCCAACAAAATATGACGAGAAGGGTGACCGTAAGGTCAGAGCCAAATTCTGCTAAATGCACATCAAAAATCTGTCAGATTTATCAAACATCTGCCAAATTCCCCAGAATTATTCGAAATACACTATAAACACTTAAAATCACATGCAGACTGGTAGTATTGCCTTAATTAAGATTCAAATTACATAATCAACAATCTAGTCACATAAATATGTTGTGATATTATTGGTAAATATCGGGCAAAACGCGGATCCGGCCACGACGAAGTCCATTTGCCAGTGAACCTCAGCACCTAGACCAGCCAACCTGTCCCATTATGCAAGGGTTTGTTTGAAAGGATTGAAGCTTTTTTAACCCTAAGCTCTCCTAAAGCTACAAAATACTACCGAGTAGTAACCTGTAGTATGCCTTTCTTTCCATACCAGTGTGCACAACACATTGTAGTATTCTGTGGTATTTGGTCCTTGACCCCCAAAGAGCCCTTAGGATGTTAAGGTTAAACAAATGTACACTTTTTTTTCAAATTTACTGTTTTTCTGTCAAATAACCATTTTTGCAGAATTCTGCCACAAATCTGCCAAATAATTCCATTCTGTCAAACTTTCTGTCAAACTAGTTTTTTAACCAAAATTCTGTCAAAGTTAGCCAAAAATCGGCTAAAACGGTCACCCTGGTGACGAGTGAGGTACTGCATGCAATATCCTCCCGATAATTTTGTAAGGTTTGCAGGATTCAATGACCACTGGGCATAATTTACAAAAAACACTCCAGAGCTTTGATGTTGAAACTGTGTACTCGTTGTTGTCTGAGGACTTGCGGGGAAAAAAAATTCACAAGCTTACTCGGATTGGACTCGAACCCCCGACCTCCTGCGTACTAGCACAGACGTCTTACCACTCGACACCAAGCTTGCCGGGATCGGCTGGCCGGTTTGAGTCTGATGTAGGGCAATTCCGTAAATTCGGATGTACATGTCAGACACTTTAATGAGCTGCTGTTGGAAAAGTGAATGTGATACATCACTAATAATGTGACATCTAATGAGTAGAAAAGAATTACAGACCAAAATAAGGTTCCACCACCTAACGACCTTGTACGTACATGTGATGCGATCAAGCTAAATGAGTCATTTGTCGGGGGTTTTTATTTGGAGATACAGGCCAAAATAAGATCACTTTATCACATCACTTCATGACATCTCTTGGTGTTCCGACTTCCATAATTTTTGAACTAAAGATGGTATCAGCATGCGGTTTTCACAGCAGTAATGCTGAGATTGTGCTCTTTTCAAATCTGTAAAAAAATATATAAATTGACCGGGGTCGACAAACGACTCATGTAGCTTGATCACATCACATAAACATCATGTGGTCGGACGTACCTTGGATTTTACGGAATTGCCCTGTAGCAGCATGTACCCCAACCAAACCGCTTATCAGACCTTTGTAAGAATGAAGATAAATATTGTCCTGAACTGAAATTTTATGAATACATTATTCTGAAATATTCGTCATCTTGTCTCCCCCACCCCAGATTCCAGCCACCATCACAAGAATTCTCCTGAATCACTTCCGATGGGACAAAGAGAAACTCATGGAGCGATTCTACAGCGAGGACCAAGACAAACTCTTCAGCGAGGCTCACGTTGTTAGTCCCTACAAGAAAACTCCGGTCAGGCATTCGTCTAGGGTGAGTGTACACTCGCAGGAAAATAACAAGAATTGGGGAACCGCCAACATAGGGCTGGATATCACAGTTGGTAGAGCATCAAAACGGCAATCTAGAGGTCGTAGGTTCAAACCCCGATTCGTCTATTTCTTTGTTCAATTGGATAGCTCAGTTGGTAGAGCTCCGGAACGGCAATGCTGAGGTCGTAGGTTCAAACCCCGATTCAGTCCATTTCTGTGTTCAATTGGATAGCTCAGTCGGTAGAGCACCAGAACGGCAATCCCGAGGTCGTAGGTTCAGACCCCGCTTCAGTCAATTTCTTTGTTCAGTTGGATAGCTCAGTTGCTAAGAGCACCGGAACGGCAATCCAGAGGTCACAGGTTCAAACCCGCTCCAGTCCATTTCTTTGTTAAATTGGATAGCTCAAAATGTAGGATATGAAAGCCCAATTCTTAAGCTTTCTTTTAGTACAAGAATGGACCGATCCAGTAAGCCCCTCCCACTGCGCACGTGGCAAATTAACACGTGCTCCTCTCCAATGCCACACTGCATTTTTCTGCCGCGCGCATCATACGCGCGTGCACGCATGTCGGACTTTTGTGCACGCATGTCGGACATAAATCACGGCTGTGATTGGTCAGAATATCATGGGGCGGTGCTTACTGGATCGGTCCATTATTAAAATCACTCGCGTACTTTTCAAGTTAGGGAATTTTAAACATAACCACCGTTTTAAAGTTCTGTCCACAGATCACAAAAAGGTAAGTGTTCTTTCAGCAAAGCGAAAACAAATCACATAGGGATGTGTGTGAATTGTTTTCGTTTTGCTGAAAGACACACACCTTTTTGTGATCCGTGAACAGAACTTCAAATGGTAGTTGTGTTTAAAATTAACTAACTTGAAAAATACATGAGTGATTTGAATGATTCTTGTACTTAAAGAAAGCTAATTGGGCTTTCATATCCTAGATTTTGAAAGTGCTACATGCAGAGCTTCGCAAAAACAATAGTCCCAACATTTGGTGGTTTTTTTTTACTCATCTTCTATTGTCATTTGATGTTCCTTTCCAGGTAGCTACGCGATCTTCAGGTCCGGTCCTTGAACCCTGCGATATCTGCTGTCGGAATATAATTAGCACGGTAAGTGCAAGGGACCCAATTTCATAGAGCTGCTTAAGCACAAAATTTGCTTAAGCAAAAAAAAATCTTGCTTAATATAATCAGGTTACCGGCCAAAACTCCACTCGATTGTTATGCTAAGTAAACAACAGCTAAATACCAGTCACAAGTAATGTACATCGCATGGAGTTTTGGCGGGTTACGTGATTTTACTAAGCAATGTTTTTTCGTGCTTAAGCAAATTTTGTGCTTAAGCAGCTCTATGAAATTGGGCCCAAATGGCCTACATGTAGCTAAGGTCGTTGGAGTGTTAGTTAACCCTAACCACCCCAACTCCATCAAAATCCATTTGGTGGATTTTGGGGGACTTGGTCCAGAAGGCCTGGCGTGACTAAATATTGATGGAGTATGATGGACTTGGGCCTAATGGCCTGAAGCAGTGCTAGGGGTATCCGATTGATGTTGCCTAGCTTCCTGTACTGCTATTGTGATAAAAGCCATGTTGAGCAAGTCCATGAATGTCAACCAGTGCGTCAGTGGTGGATTCCATTATGTCATGTACAGTTTTGTATTGGAAGCACAGTGATTGATGGATTTTGTTGGACTTAGTCCAGTTCCTAGTAAAAGATGCTAGGGAGTTAGGTTAACGAAAAAAATCCCCCCAAAATTGTAGGTTTTCAAAAACTTGTCAAAAAGTTTAAAAGGAGTAAAAAATGTGCAATTGGAAAAAAAAATATATATATATATATACAATCTTCTTCCAACTTGCCATTTTCAGCAATTTCTTTCTTCTACATGTAGATGCAAATCCTGTATGAATTTTTTAGAAGTCACTTTTTCAAAGTTTAACTAGAGTTGTTCAGTCAAACTCAACTGGACAAGTCAGTTGTACTTTATAACAAAGTATTTATATTTTTCATGAATTGAAAATGAAAGTCGTGCGCAAAATCACTTTTTTGGGGTCGTATTATAAGGTTGAATAACCCCAGAAGTTTAGACGATGTCATAACACTTCCAATACAAAGTACAGTCCCCAAAATAGGAATACATGAAAGCAACTTGTGAGTTTTATCTACTTTCTTACCAAAGCTATTGTGTGAACTTTGCCTCTTGGTCTTACTAGTAATTTATTTTGCAACATGTAGATGATGACAGGCTTGGAGTGTGGGCACCGATTCTGCATGGACTGCTGGACGGAATACCTGACCACCAAGATCATGGAGGAAGGAATGGGCCAGGTACAAGAGAAATAGTACAACAAAATGATAAAACAGACCACATCCGAATAATTCACAATTACAGGGCGAGTCCAAAAGAAAGTTACCCGAATTAATGATTCTTTTTCTTAAAAAGCAATCAAATTTGGAAAACCAATGAAGTATATCTTGAAGAGCATGTTACTCCACTCATCTAAAAAAAAGAAGAATTACTAGAATTGATCCATGCTATCAGACGTTATGCACGTTGTACTAAAAGAACCCATTTTGTAGCTGTCCATTGAATGCCATTGGAAGCTATTGAGCTGAGTGAGAATTACCAATTACACACAAGCATTCAAATACAAATCGTCGCGTCAGTGCAACAAGGTCGTAACTCCATTCTGCAACAAAGTCGTATCTCGCGCGTATACGCTCCTTGCAACAAGGTCGTATCTCGACGTCCATTGACTTTGCGTGTACATCCGGGTTATTTTAAGCGAGATACGACCTTTTGAAATTCTAAAATGTGCGTTTTGCGTTCATAACTCCATTCTGCAACAAAGTCGTATCTCGTGCGAATACGCTCCGTGCAACAAGGTCGTATCTCGACGTCCATTGACTTTGTGTGAATATCGGGTTATTTTGAGCGAGATACAACCTTTTGACATTCTAAAACTCGCGTTTTGCGTTCATAACTCCATTCTGCAACAAAGTCGTATCTCCCGCAAATACGCTCCGTGCGACAAGGTCGTATCTCGACGTCCATTGACTTTGCGTGTACATCCGGGTTGTTTTAAGCGAGATAGGACCTTTTGACATTCTAAAACTCGCGTTTTGCGTTGTTCATGCCATTTTAGGAGATACGACCTTGTTGCACTGACGCGATGATACGTAATAAATGCATGTGTGCGCGCGGTTCCCAGAATTCGGTTTCTTTTATTCGTCAGTTCAGCGCATGACATTACGTAGCTGCAATCCGCAGAATGAGAACATGTCCCCTGCTTGTTTATCCATACACATTGACAGATGTTGCAAAAATACTGAACTTTACGCCCGATTTTTTTTTCAAATTCAGACAATATCCTGTGCAGCTCATAGTTGTGACATCCTAGTCGACGACTGCACCGTAATGTGAGTAACTCAGCTTTGTAACTTCAACAATAGTCACTGTAGCGCCCAAAACTGCCCAAACACTCTACAGGGTGTCCTGCAAATAATGGTGCATGTAAACCCCGCCATTTTCGCCAATTTACAACCGGAATTTACTGCAAATGTTTACACGATCTTCAAGGTTACAGATTTAGATTGAGAATACCGTTTGTTTAATTAAGATTGCTGTTGTAAATCCAGAGATATGTTTGAATAACCGCAAAGCCAAAAAAAAACATTCAGTGCCGCTTTTAGGAAGCGAGTGCTTCAAAGATCAGACAATGCCAGTATGGCTCTTTTGATCAGATTATCCCCATGGGTGTAAGACAAACATTCCATTCACACGACAATATAGGGTTTTGTTCTTATGTTGAAACTGACATATAAACATCAGATGTACATCAGATTCGAACCAGCCAACCGATCCCGTAAGCTCGGTGGTCGAGTGGTAAGACATCTGCACTAGAAAGCAGGAGGTCGTGGGTTCGAGTCCCACCCGAGTGATTTTTTCCAACTTTCACTCGGGAGGTAACACACTGAGTATACAGTGTTTCAAACGTCGGTGAAGGGCAAAAAACCCTAATTTGATTTATATCACCCCGTCGCAAAATTCCATCTAATAATAGTTTATGCGGTACCCGCTGCTATGTACATCAGATTCGAACCAGCCAACCGATCCCGTTAGCTCGGTGGTCGAGTGGTAAGACATCTGCACTAGAAAGCAGGAGGTCGTGGGTTCAAGTCCCACCCGAGTGATTTTTTCCAACTTTCACTCGGGAGGTAACACACTGAGTATACAGTGATTAAAACGTCGGTGAAGGGTAAAAAACCTAATTTGATTTATATAACTCCGTCGCAAAATTCCATCTTATAATTGTTCCCCATAACTTGTGCAGGAAACTAGTCAAGGATGCCAAAGTCAAGTTAAAATACCAGCACCTGATAACAAACAGCTTCGTAGAGTGCAATCGGCTGATGAGGTGGTGTCCGGCACCAGACTGTCCCAACGCATTCAGAGCTAGCCATCTAGAGGTCCGGCCGGTCACCTGCAAGTGTGGTCACATATGCTGGTGAGTAGACAAGACCCTTATGCACTACCGGTAGAGGGCGCCCTTGCATTAAACTTATTTAGTATGATCGTATAAATTCAGAGCAGCGTTTTTCTTTCAACGCATCAACAACGCTTTGCAAACAGCACCTACAACTGATTGGACACACAACCAGGGCCCAATTTCACGGCGCTGCTTAACAGTTAGCAGAAAAGTTGTGTTTTAGCATAGCAGAAAAATTTGCTAACCTTAAGCACTATTTCATGGCGTGGACGTGCTAACGGTCGCGCGTGCATGGAGATTTCTATTGTTACGTCACTAAGTTTTCCTCGGAGGTAAGCGTGCCTTTTGCTGTGCTTATACTTACGGTCTCCATAAAATAGACGAAGGCTCTGTTAGCAGAAAATCGTGTGCTTAGCAGCGCCGTGAAATTGGGCCCAGGGCCCAAATTCACGGTGCTGCTAAGCATACAAATTAACTTAGCACAAAAAAAGTCTGCCTTATAAAAGCAGGTTACCAGCCAAAACCCTGTTTGATTTTCATGCTAAGCAAACAACAGCTGAATACTAATCACGAGTAATATACATCATTTGGAGTTTTGGCTGGTAACCTGCTTTTATAAGACAGACTATTTTTGTGCTAAGCACATTTTTGTGCTGAGCAGCGCCGTTAAATTGGGCCCAAGAGTGACGTTCCACTCTCATTACGCTTGGATAAAAACAACTAACCTACAGAACCATACCGTAGAGGTGGCGCACTTATGCGAACCAACCAACAGCAGCTTTCTGATGACCTGAGGATGGTTGGTATTGGCTAGCATCAGCTACAGTAAGCCACTCAAAATGCCGAACAATGGAAACGAACAATTCTTCGGGTGCCCGGCGGAAGGGCATACATGTATGAGCGTTCGGACGCAAAATCATTTTCAAGAAAATTGCATTGAAAGGTTCCATTGTTCCCCGCGAGTATTATAAATCCAATGTTCTCCCACACATTATATAAATCGTACGAATTTGAAATTTGTCACACGTATGAATCATGAGTTTGGGAACAACTTGTATTCATTTCTGACGAAAATGTTTGAATTTCATTAAACTAAAAGGCAGTTTTCTGCATATATGCCCTTTTGCTGGAAACATTTTGGTGATTGCGCGTTCGCGCATAAGGGCGTATGCACATATGCCCTTCCACCAGGCACACAACGAATTGACACATTATGATGTCGTCACCCACGTGCGCTGCACGCGCACAGACGTCGCCATGATGATGAAATATTTTGCCTTTCTGGTAACTGGTCTCCTAACCTGTTCTGTATCATTTCTGTAGGCGATTATATTTCAAAGCTTGAATTATTTAGTTTTTTTTTTTTTTTTCACTTATCCTTCAGTTTTGTGTGTGGTGAAAACTGGCACGACCCTGTCAAATGCAAGGTGAGTATGCAGGCGTGGAACTTTCTGTTTTTCACTTAACACTTATAGACTTAAAAATTTGAAAACGCTGTATAAGTCTTGTCAATCTTGGAACACACAAATTTTAACTGGCATGCTTTTGCACACACAAAAAATAGTCGGTCTCTAGTCAGACCAAAGTTCCGGAATTGATGCGGCGATGCGTTGGGTTTTTTTTTTGGGGGGGGCGGTTTTTTTCAAGCTTGGATTGTACAGACAAGATGGGTACTATTTTGCTTGTTTGTGTCCTCATATACATTGGTGTCCTCCATCGTTTGCCTTTGTGCAATTTCCCCATTCCTTGGTGCTCCTTGGTACAAAAAATTGAGGTGGTACGGCAATCGAGATCGCTGTTGTACCTATCGCGGAAAATTTGGAAAAAAAAACCAACTTGAGCGCATGATTAAAATCGACGCTTGCGCTGACCAGAGACCGACTATTTTGTTTTTTGGCCTTTGCCTGCAATTTTTGACTGGCGCGCAGTTGCAGTTGGCACATGTAGAACTTGATTGGCAAGTTTCGAATATTTGAATATTCGGTCAAACGTAGTTTCAAATAATCGAATACTAAATTTTTCGAGAATTGAACAGCCCTACTTGTTGCTTAAAAATTAAAAGGGCAGTCCAGTACATGTATATTTCTGTTAGCATTCTTAAGGGGCAATGAATTACCTTTTATTCAACCTCGTCCCCAGTGCTTACTTTATTTCCAACCTCTTTTTTCAATAGTAAGCCCTGGATAGGAAACTTTCTTCTTGTATCCTGATTCGATACCGCAATCGGCTAGTAATGGATTTATATCGTGTAGTTGGTGTTGTTATTTCCAACGTGCATTATGCGTTTTCACGATCATTTAAATTATAACGTTCACGCCTTCTCAAAAATACTCCTTTCCTTTCCAATTTGCTCATATTAATATGAAATGTGATACTGCATATTGGCGGGATAAGATTGTAACATTTTAACTTTGAAAACAATCATGTTTTCGTTACTCACCGAGCGACGAACTGATTCTGTTTTTACCCAAGACACTGCATACAAAAACAAATGCTAATGTAACACACAGGTGGGCACCAGACTATTCCTCATTTGCATACGTGTTCAAAAATCTTGCACGGGTGAGAGAGCAGGTAGTGGTGGGTGCGTACTGCTCGACACCCTGGGGACGAGGTTTGCCTTTTATTGACTAATGGGAAATCAGGTCATGTGAGTGTATTTCATTGAAAAAGAAAGGGAAAAAAATTAACATTTGGGATTGTATCCCATTATTTAGTATTTTAAATTTCCCCCGATTTGAGTCAATCTCATTTTGAATGTCTACCGTCGTTTGTAGTGGCTGAGGAAATGGATCAAAAAATGCGATGACGACAGCGAAACGTCCAACTGGATATCGGCCAACACGAAAGAGTGTCCAAAGTGTCATGTGACCATCGAGAAAGATGGCGGATGCAACCACATGGTCTGTCGCAACCAAAACTGTAAGGTAAGAAAACAAAGAAGAAAAACTAGATTTACGTTTGTGGACAAACACATGGCTGTTTCGGCATTTTGATACTGTATTTTTATGTAATGTTATAGACCGATAGACATAGATGTGCAGTAGAAAGTTGCAGAGTGATCAAGGCCAATAGTTCCTTAGATTTAAGCTTTAAAATGGACCTTTAATGTGACGTCACATTGTAACTTCAACTTGTTCTTAGCATGAAGCTGATTATACGTGTATACATCAATTCGGGCGATTCACAATGCAGTGCGCCACCAAGAGTTTGCCACGGAGAGTTCATTTTTCCCAGTGCATTGTGGGAAATGGTCGACAAATTCGCAGCGCAGGACATTTGAAATTGTTAGTTTTTCCGGTCAGTGGTTTCGTAAGCGTATGATTCGAGGATCTGTTTGCCCTTTTCTTTTCTTGTTATCAATATGGTGTTTTTTAGTATTAAAGGCGGCAGAACGCTATGCCCCAATCTATGACATATTAGCTCAAGTTGTCTACCGACACTCATTCAAATGGGCCATGTTTTGTCAACCGTAAACTTGAAAAATGGACTCCGTTGCAAACTCTTGGTGGCGCACTGCATTGTGAATCACCCGAATTATAAAGTGATTTCAGCAAACTTCACAACACACATCAACTGATTATTCATTTCAACATTTTTCAACCTGCCTCTAGAGGGCGCTCTAACATTTTAGGATGTCTCTGGTATTTTTTGTGTAAACTAATAATAATATAGAGACTAATATCATTGAAAGCAAGTTCACATCTTTTCCACTTTCAAATTATCCGGTTTGGATCGGAAGGAAGGGTCATGTGATTTGGCACGCACTAGATAAAATGAAGATCCTGGATTATTCTATCAGTTCCCGTAAATGTCAATTTCAGGTCCTCACGGTTGATTTTATATTGAATTTCAAAAATTAGATCTATTTATCTTTAACGTGACATCACGTGACCCATGATGACGTCATCATGACGTCATTTCAATTTTCATCTATAACACATCCCAGTCTAGGTACGTACCAACTTTCAACCCAATCAGCCTTGTAGTTCTGTAGATAAAGATCTTTAAAATATGCAGTTGAGTTGTCAAGCAGAAAATATGTGATGAGCAAATTTATGTGCTAAGCGTGAATCAGCAGAGTACCAGTGACACACCATGTACATTGAATGAGATCTTGGCTGGTAACCTGTCTTTGCCTAGCAAGTGATTTCCACGCTCAGCAAATTCTTTGGTTTTAGAGTTAGAGGCAAATTGACGTCAAACATAATTCTGTGAATTGTTTATTTTTCTTGCAGGCTGATTTTTGTTGGGTCTGTCTCGGTCCGTGGGAGCCGCATGGATCATCGTGGTAATATGAAGTCAAATATATTTGTAGAAAAACTTATTGCAGTAGCATAAAATAGCTGTGGTTGAGCCTGCGCAATTATAGTGAAACTGTGAAAAAAAACTTGAGTAGTTTATGGAACGTCGCTACACTGAACACTGCTGTACCAAACATTTTGCTATACAGAACATCGCCCTTGGCTCCCAATTTTCGCGTACAAAACGTACCGAACACTGTTGTTGAAAAATGTCAACAGAAGAGCGACACGTGGCTAAGGAATAGAAGGGGAAAGCCACCCATTGCTGTAGGTAGTAAGCTCAAAAACTATGTAATTTCATAATTCAATAGTCGGCACATGTTCAAAGTCGTCTTTCAGTAACTACCAGGGCGTGCAGGGTGAAGTTATGAAGGGTGCTATTTATTGAAAAGCGAGTACCGGAGCACCGGCAGCTTAAAAGCATCGCTTTACCAAACGATCGCTATTAGGAACCATTTCTGTGGATTCCGCGATGTTCGTTATAGCGGCGTTTCACTGCACTGTGAAGAAAGAACTTGAGTAGTATATGATGTATAGAATATTTTGGAAGTATAAGTTTTAAACATAGGAAGAGTAGCGGAGGATGATTTGCGAAAGAATAGGTTTGATGTTAAAAGTGTTAAAGCAAAGCACTTTTGGTTATTGAGGTGAACAGACTTAAACAGTTATTACAATAACTATATATAATTGTATTTATTGGTATTCACAGGTATAACTGTAATAGATTTGACGAGGAAGATGCCAAAAAAGCAAGGGATGCCCAAGCTGTAAGTTCATCGTTTTTTCCTCTCATCTTCAAAGTACTCAACTGCCCTCATATAGTACTGCCCTGAACTGCCCTGCCTGTTACTCCCTGTACAGCCCCAAACCGCCCTGCCTGTTACTCCCTGTACTGCCCCAAACCACCCTGCCTGTTACTCCCTGTACTGCCCCAAACCACCCTGCCTGTTACTCCCTGTACTGGCTAAACCGCCCTGCCTGTTACTCCCTGTACTGCCCCAGACCGCCCTGCCTGTTACTCCCTGTACTGCCCCAAACCACCCTGCCTGTTACTCCCTGTACTGCCCCAAGCCGCCCTGCCTGTTACTCCCTGTACTGCCCCAAACCGCCCTGCCTGTTACTCCCTGTACTGCCCCAAACCACCCTGCCTGTTACTCCCTGCACTGCCACAAACCGCCCTGCTTGTTACTCCCTGTACTGTCCCAAACCGCCCTGCCTGTTACTCCCTGTACTGCCCCAAACCACCCTGCCTGTCACTCCCTGCACTGCCACAAACTGCCCTGCCTGTTACTCCCTGTACTGCCCCAAACTGCCCTGCCTGTTACTCCCTGTACCGCCCCAAACCGCCCTGCCTGTCACTCCCTGCACTGCCACAAACTGCCCTGCCTGTTACTCCCTGTACCGCCCCAAACTGCCCTGCCTGTTACTCCCTGCACTGCCACAAACTGCCCTGCCTGTTACTCCCTGTACTGCCCCAAACCACCCTGCCTGTCACTCCCTGCACTGCCACAAACCACCCTGCCTGTTACTCCCTTTACTGCCCCAAGCCGCCCTGCCTGTTACTCCCTGTACCGCCCCAAACCGCCCTGCCTGTTACTCCCTGTACTGCCCCAAACCACCCTGCCTGTTACTCCCTGTACTGCCCCAAACCGCCCTGCCTGTTACTCCCTGTACTGCCCCAAACCACCCTGCCTGTTACTCCCTGTACTGCCTCAAACCGCCCTGCCTGTTACTCCCTGCACTTCCCCAAACTGCCCTGCCTGTCACTCCCTGTACTGCCCCAAACCACCCCGCCTGTTACTCCCTGTACTGCCCCAAACCGCCCTGCCTGTCACTCCCTGTACTGCCTCAAACCGCCCTGCCTGTTACTCCCTGTGCTGCCCTAAACCACCCTGCCTGTTACTCCCTGTACTGCCCCAAACCACCCTGCCTGTTACTCCCTGTACTGCCCTAAACCACCCTGCCTGTTACTCCCTGTACTGCCCCAAACCACCCTGCCTGTTACTCCCTGTACTGCCCTAAACCACCCTGCCTGTTACTCCCTGTACTGCCCCAAACCATCCTGCCTGTTACTCCCTGTACTGCCCCAAACCACCCTGCCTGTTACTCCCTGTACAGCCCCAAACCACCCTGCCTGTTACTCCCTGTACCACCCCAAACCACCCTGCCTGCTACTCCCTGTACTGCCCCAAACCACCCTGCCTGTTACTCCTTGTACTGCCCCAAACCACCCTGCCTGTTACTCCTTGTACTGCCCCAAACCGCCCTGCCTGTCACTCCCTGTACTGCCTCAAACCGCCCTGCCTGTTACTCCCTGTGCTGCCCCAAACCGCCCTGCCTGTTACTCCCTGTGCTGCCCCAAACCGCCCTGCCTGTTACGCCCTGTACTGCCCCAAACCGCCCTAGCTGTTACTCCCTGTACCGTCCCAAACCACCCAAACACTTACATGTAATTGTTGTTAGGGATTTACGGAGTTGTTCATGAATCTGTGAAAATAAGTATTTTGCTCCTTTTTTGTCAAATTTGACAGAGATCAAGACAAGCATTAGAGCGTTACTTATTCTACTGTAATCGCTACATGAACCATATGCAGAGTTTACGCTTTGAAAATAAGGTGAGTTGCAGCAATTCGGGCGATTCACAATGCAGTGCGCCACCAAGAGTTTGCCACAGAGAGTTCATTTTTTGAAGTGCATTGTGGGAGATGGTCAACAAATTCGCAGCGCGGGACGTTTGAAATTGTTTTTTTTTTCTGGCCTGTTTGCCCTTTTCTTTTTATCAATATGGTGTTTTTTGTAAGGCGGCAAAATGCCATGCCCCATACTATACGAAATTAGCTCAAGCTGTCTACTGACACTCGTTCAAATGGGCCAAGTTTTGTCGACCAAAAAAAATGGACTCTCCATGGCAAACTCTTGGTGGCGCACTGCATTGTGAATCACCTGAATTAAAAGTTTTCTGGGAGATAATACCTACAGAATATCGCAGTACAAGGGAGTTCCTCCTGAAAAATAGTTATTCCCGTCTGGAACTTCAGAGGGTTTTGTCTGCTTTGCCCTGGTCCGTTTTTCCAAATCACTTCAGCTCGGTCTCAAATTTTGAAATTCCAAACAAATTTCTTTCAACATTCTGCTTCACATATACTGAAATTTGTATCCTTGTGGAGACATTTCTTTGTTCTCGTGTAGTCAAGTTTTTGAGTTTGAAAGTGAAGTTTCAAAATGCTCTTACTTTAACCAGAATTAATTTCCTTGGCTGAAATTCGGACATAATATTCCTTTTCTAAAACTCCTCCATTTGTGACGGATCAACCCACCTTGGAAATTCCTTGTTTTTGAGTAAAATCCATATATGTATTTCGTGAAAACCTTGTGGAGACGTATTCACCTATAGAAATTGCCCTGTGGAGACGTATACAATCTTTCGTTCCCTATTGTGTGCACGTCTCCAGAGGGTACCCTTTATCAGATTCTAGCAACACATGGAATTTGTAAGGTGTGACCGAAAAGTTTACTTTCAGATCTTTCAAAACAGATAAAAGCTCATATTTGTTGTTTTTATGAAATGTGCGTGACTAATAGTGACAAAATTTCCCAAATCAGGAGACATTCTAGACACAAAGCATTGCACATTGAGAAAAATGCGGTCTCAAAACGAAACCAAGGACTTATTTTTCTTTTTCGATGTGCGAACCCAGTATCCATAATTTTTCGTTACACCTTTTCAGCTGTACTCCCAGATCATGAAGAAAATGGAGGACATGCAGCAACACAACATGTCCTGGATTGAGGTACAGTTCCTGAAGAAAGCCGTCGACGTCTTGTGCCAGTGCCGATCCACGCTCATGTATACCTACGTATTCGCCTTTTATCTCAAGAAGAACAACCAGTCGCTCATATTTGAGGTAGGATCTCCCTGAAAAATGTTGTATTACTCGTATTTTAAAAATCTTTTGCAAGTGGTACTTTGTTCCCAGTTATTTATACCCATTAATAGCGTCTAAGATCATTTGCATTTATCCCAAAAGTAACCTACCAAACTATTATCAAAAAGCTTACTTAGATTGGAGATCGTACTGGTACTGAAATTATTCTGTCTGGCTTTCTGTCAAGAAGAAATCCAGAAATGTATTTCAATTTCCAATGATCAGTCAATAGGGCTCGCTCAGTGACGGCCATCTCTGTAGGAGAACTGCAACTGCATATTTTACGCAATCAAGCACGCATTGTGAAGTGTTGAAAATGTTCTAAACACGCGCGCTTGTTGCTCGAAATGTGTTTGAAATGTGTTCGACATGCGACACAGCCGATGCGCGTTATGCAAGTTGACGCTCAAAATGCCGATGTACGTGGATGGTCTGTAGGAAATGACATCATCGGAACGAGACCTATTATCTGATATTTGGAAATACAGAGTGCTATGGACAAAATTCTGTTTCGCTTCGAAATTTTTTGTGCATGGTTTCTCGCTGTTTTCCCGCAAAGTGTAATATCCACTGAGCTGAAACTTCAACAGGTTAGGATTAGGATATTCATCTTTGGATTTTGAGCGGTGCTATTATTGGAAAAGAACAAAATGCTTGAAAAGCAAATGATCCTTTACGCCTTTAAATTACCATTCCCATTGGTCAAGAGCCCGTCACGTTGCCGGTCTTAAACGGATGATAAAGACATGGCTAGCTGGTCTTAAACACTTCTCCAGTGTCACATGAAATTTTGACTCCTATGAAATCCAGTGCCATTATATTGGTTGCACGTTCGCAATCCTCATATAAGCATGTGCTATTCTACCAGTGAGTCGGGATTTCATAGTCCTAATTCACAACGCGCTCACCACAGCTGCATCTGCATGTCATCGCGCAGAAGCGCGATACGAAGGTCAATCTCCATAAAAGAGTTGTTTACGTCTTACTCGCAAGCTGGACACTCCATTATTTCGAAAAACAGAAAGTAGAATTGTTTGACAAAATTGTTTGAAATTTTTAATTTTGGACTTGTTTGACTTTGAGACTGAAAACTTTTGATTTTGTTTTGACCGAAAAGGTATTTATGAATGGGTTCGCCTAGGGTAATTATCAGCATTCCAGATTCCAAACAGTCTTAATCATAGTGTTTAACACATCCCAAGCACACATTCATTGCCTTATGTAAACATGCCTTTATTTTTCAACAAATTGGGTCGACGTTTTGGTTTCAGGAAAACCAGAAAGATTTAGAGAATGCCACGGAGATGCTATCGGAATACCTGGAGAGGGACATAAGCAGCGATGCACTGGCCGACATCAAACAGAAGGTCCAGGATAAAACAAGGTAGGACGCACATGCACACTCACTAGAGGGAGCTGTTGCATTGGTCATTCCCACGTACACAGCGTCTACGCCAAGGGCGAAGCAGGGCGAAGCAGCAAAACCGCCTACCATGCTCAGCCGGCGAGACGAAGTCTCGTGTACAATATCAATCACATTACACAGAGGATGACCAGTAGCAACGGAATACCTTTGTCACAGTTCATGTGAATTACTTAAGACTTGACTTTGGACTGGATGACTTGTGATGGACTTTTGATATGGGGACTTGTGAGGACTTGGGAGGACGTAAGAGGACGTGAGAGGACTTGTGATGGACTTGGGAGGACTTGTGATTGACTTGTAAGGACTTATGAGGACTTGTGATGGACTTGTTAGACATTGTGAGGACTTGTAAGGACTTGTTAGGTCTTGGGAGGACTTGTAGGGATATGTGATGGACTTGTGAGGACTTGTAAGTGTAAGGACTTATGAGGACTAGTGATGGACTTGTGAGGACGTGTGATTGAATTATGTGGACTTGTAATTAATTTGTGAGGTCTTGTGAAGGACTTGTAAGGACTTGTGAGAACTTGTGGGTTCTTGTGAGGATTGTTTTATGGCTTTGTAAGGACTTGTGCTGACATGCAATTACCTGTGATGAATTGCAAGAACTTGTGATTCACCTGTGAGGAATTGTGAAGGATGTGAGGACTTGTAAGGACTTTGAGGACTTGTGATGGCCTTGTAAGGACTTGTGAAGACATGCAAGAACTAGTGATTCATTTGTGAGGATTTGTGAAGACCTGTGAGGACTTGTAAGGACTCATGAGGACTTGTGATTGACTTTTGAGGACTTGTAAGAACTTGCAAGAACTTGTGAGGACTTGTTAGGTCTTGTGAGGACGTGTGAGGATAAGTTTGGATTTGAGCAGGATTTGACTATTACACTTCTTGACGTCACTTTTTCTGATAAAATCAAATAAAATCCACTCGGTTTCCTCTTGTTTCTAAACTCTTTTTTTTCTTCTTTGGCACAGGTACTGTGAAAGTAGGAGGAAGGTTCTACTAGAACACGTCCACGAAGGCTACGAGAAGGATTTATGGGAATACTACGAGTAGAGAAATAACCACACGCAGCTCTTCCACCGTACATAGCCAACCCCTCCCCTATCCCCCTCCCCTTTTGTTCAACACTAGCCACGCCCACCCCTAGGGCCTTGGTTGAATGACAGGTGTTTTTCCTTTTTCTTTTTATTTTTTTGCTGTTCATATCAGAGTAGTTTTTATCACAATTACTAAAAACCTCTTGAAATGGCACGTGGGACCTCGTATCCGATTTTACCAAAAAAAGCAATGATACCACAAATCGCCCTTTACTACATCAGAGGGTTTGTGCATAGTAATGTAAGATGCGTTGTTCATTTGTAAAAATGAATAAGTAAAGACGAATTTATAATAAATTCTGTATGGGACGTTATGGCATGAATATGATTCCATTTCATAAAATAGCTGTAATATCTTTCTTTTCCTTGGTCATGCCGGCTAATTTTTCATCTGCGGTCAAGATATAAGACTTTTTATGACAGAAAGGTTTTTCCCTCTGTTTTTACCATATCTGGAACATGGAACATATCAGTAATGTCGCGCGCAGCTACGTACCAGGAAATTGTATATAGTTTAACGAAGGTATACTTCGAATAAACAGCAGTGTTTTACCCAAGAGAGCGTTGAGCTGACGGGACAATGAAAGCAACTTGGATGAAACACATCAATATGAATCATTCAGAAATAAGAAGGTTTTGCCTTGAAAAGTTTCAGTTGTTTACCTTTCGAGGAATATCTCAATACAAGGCTGCTCAGCATAAGTTTGGACGCTTGTACTAATAAAAATAAACAATTTGAGAAACCCCCTCCCCCCCAAAAAAAAAAATTAAAAAAATTGAAAAACTGACAAAATCAACCTTTAATAATCTGGATTCCTTATGTTCAAGTGAAAAATTCCTGACGACCAAAAGAAAAAAGTCTTTTTCAATTTGGGCGATTCACAATGCAATGCGCCACCAAGAGTTTGCCATGGAGAGTCCATTTTTCAGGTTTACTGTCAACAAAACACGGCCCATTTGAACGAGTGTCAGTAGACAACTTGAGCTAATTTGTTACAGATCGGGGCATAATGTTTGCCGCCTTACGAAATACACCATATTGATAAAAAGAAAAGAAAAGGGCAAACAGATACTCGAATCATACGCTTATGAAACTTCTGACCGGAAAAACTAACAATTTCAAATGTCCCGCGCTGTGAATTTGTTGACCATCTCCCACAATGCACTGGGAAAAATGAACTCTCCACGGCAAACTCTTGGTGGCGCACTGCATTGTGAATCGCCCGAATTGCAAGTGAAATGATTTCAGCAAAGTTAGTTAAATGCCATATCTACCCTTTATTCCCTATTGCCTGTGTATCTTTTGCTGCATAATAACCATTCTCTTTTTGGTTTAGTTTTTTAACTTTCTTTGTTTTTTTCCCCACATCACAACAAGCACATAAGTTAATTTAACAAGTGCAACTAACAAGCTAAAATGTCAGGAAAATGAAGCATTTCTCGTAGAAACTTCATTCAAAGATCGAAGCTTGAAATATTTTTGTTTGGGTCTATTAACCACAGTTGCTAGAGTTTCTGTTCACATGCCTTCAGTATCAACAGTTGACCACAATTGCAGTTGTGTGTCACGTGACGACTTTCAGATCACATGATACGATGAGAAGCTGTAAACAGTGACACAATTTTTTGGGTCCTTTTTTCGAGTATTAATTCTTTGCCCCTCTTGGGATATCGACAGGGCAAACTTTTTGTGGGAATCAAAGATGTTTGTGACATTTTTGTGACCAAATAGCGTCCTCTGTGTGTACCTATCTCACAGACCGACCTTGGACAAGGCGTGGAGACATGTTTGTAAAAATTGAAAGTAAAATCAGAGTACAAAACTAAAAAAAAAAAGTTAACAAAAAAAGCCCACTGTTTTCCACTGCCTTGTTTCTCGGGCTTGCATCCTTGATCAATAAACTGGGCCGCTTGGAGTTTGTGAATAACTGAATTGAGATGCCAATACCTGCTTAATATATGCAAGAATATGTAATAGTGTCAAACAAAAAAATGGCAAGTATATCTCTGACAGTCCAGAAGATTGAATTGCTGCATGTCCAATAACGCCTGTCCCCAGACAATGAACACGACTTTTTTTGTAGGTCCCAGAGTGCCATATCTCACTGACCGGCCCCTCAGTGTTACAGTGTTACTGGGCAGTGCTGTTGTATAGGATTCCCTAACGCCAATGAGTGGGCTCAATCTCGCCTATTGTGCAGACCAGATGCCATTCTGAAGCAATTGAATGGAATATTATTATTATTTTTATTAATCATTTCTGGTAATGAAACCAAGGATTCCTCAAATGCGCCCTAGGCACTGTAGCTCGCAAGCCTGAAGAAACCTGTAGAGAGAGGACAACGAGAAGAAATTACAGTTTTAGAGGTGGGAGGAAAAGCCCAGAGGAATATTCTGGGGAAAACCTACTGAATCAGGCAGGGACTGAAAACCCAATCCACATATTGGCCCGGGCGGGATTCGAACCCGGGTCACAGCGGTGGAAGGCGAGGAAAGTACCGCTACGCCAACCTGACTCCCTCGTGCACTCTGAGACCAGCTTTACTAGGCCTTCCTTGTCTTGTGCACATACTCTCTATTTTATATTGTCTGGCAGTGTTTTTTTTTATTTGATCAAAGCAATCTGGGTTTTCAAAAAGTGTATTAGGTTTTTAAACAACCCTGAAAAAAAAAAGATTTGTGCGCATTAATCATCTGAACTTCCTGCTCTACGCAAACCTACCTGCCAAACGGCTGTTTCATGAAGAGTTTTCTGGAAGTACATGTAGTACACTTACTAACTCCATGCTGATCTAATCGACTTTTTAGATGTCTGAAATAACTTTTATAAGCTGATTTGATTTTTTTAAATTCATTCGGTGTGATTTGTGTTATTTTATAAAGTTCTGCCAACCGAATATTTCCGTATATCAGCAGCGACTGTGTAGTAGTAGGCATTCTAACGATCACATTTTCTTATGTTGTTTTCCACAATCAACAAGTATTTCGTAATCACAGTTTGTGAAAACATTACTTTACCTTTCTGGTGCGTAGTTAATATGGACATTGCCATCGTTGATTCTCAAATGAACTGGTTTTTTTTAATACACACTTGTTTATTGGTCATGCTATTCAATAATTAAAAACAAAATGAGCAGTGACAACATATAATATCTTGGTTGTTTTTTTATTTGTATGGATATTTGTTTAATCGCGCAGCGTTTCGAGACACTTTCAGTTTTTAGCCAAACAAATTGTGCAAAACTGCAAGGAGTTAACCCTACAATGTTAATTATTTTAAACCCCCTCCCATTTGTTTTCTACAAACCACTCAGAAAAAAAACTTTCAAAATTTTACCAAAATACACATATTTTTTCCCAGGAAAAATCCACCCATTTTAGAAGGGATCACTAAATATCTCTGAAAAACAGTTAAGCAATTTTCGGTAAAAAAATTGAAAAAAAAACCCCACCAAATTGCAAGGGGTAAGCCTTACGTTTGTAATGATTTCGAAACAAACCCCTCCCCCCCAAAAAAAAAAAAATTCAAACCACTTGGAAAAACCTTTCTGTTCAAGAACAGCCTATTTAATGCCCAGATTAAATTTCTGCAATTACAATTTTTCCAAAAAAAGTTGCAAATCGTACTTATTTTGCCCCGATTTTCGACCCATTTAATTTATTGTCCTGCAAAAGTGTCCTGAATATTTAGGAATGTGTTGTAGGGACCTCTGAAAATCTCCCCAGAAAGTTTCAACAAAAATCTTTTGCAAGGGGTTAGCCTTATACTTAAATTGCCTCCCAACCCCCCCCCCCCCCCAACAGAAAATGTTTAAAAGTTATTTCAAACGGCCGTTCTAGGTGTTTTATTTACATGTATATTGTCTCTATGGTCACGACCGTAGTTAATATTTATATAATCAAGTAAAAAGGAATACAAATGCGCAGTTGAGAATTCAGCAGGTTTCGAACCCGTTACCACTCTCGATTGAGCGCTAGGTTGCCTACCACTAGGCTATTGCGATCGGCTTACTGATATAGCTCGGAAATAATACATAAACACTGAAATGAAATCTCGTCCAATATTTTGGCATGATATTTGACACAAGAATCTCGAATATTGACAGAAACCGTTAAAGAATGGCAGAAATATAATTTAAGGAAATTGCAGTGTTCGGAAATTTGTAGGCCCGTCAACAATTTCTTCCAAAAGAGGGCGCGCTACATAAACAATGCTCACCGCATTATACGGCTGGGGGCGACTATTGATGGTCGCCTCTAGCGAATTACCGCTGGGGGCGAATACTGATGGTCGCCTCTAGCGGTACGTACCGCTGGGGGCGACAATTGATGGTCGCCTCTAGCGGTAATTCTAGCAAATTACCGCTGGGGGCGACAACTGATGGTCGCCTCTAGCGGTACGTATCGCTGGGGGCGACAATTGATGGTCGCCTCTAGCGGTAAACCGCTGGGGGCGACAATTGATGGTCGCCTCTAGCGGTAATTCTAGCAAATTACCGCTGGGGGCGACTACTGATGGTCGCCTCTAGCGGTACGTACCGCTGGGGGCGACAATTGATGGTCGCCTCTAGCGGTATACCGCTGGGGGCGACAATTGATGGTCGCCTCTAGCGGTAATTCTAGCAAATTACCGCTGGGGGCGACTACTGATGGTCGCCTCTAGCGGTACGTACCGCTGGGGGCGACAATTGATGGTCGCCTCTAGCGGTATACTGCTGGGGGCGACAATTGATGGTCGCCTCTAGCGGTAATTCTAGCAAATTACCGCTGGGGGCGACTACTGATGGTCGCCTCTAGCGGTACGTACCGCTGGGGGCGACAATTGATGGTCGCCTCTAGCGGTATACTGCTGGGGGCGACAATTGATGGTCGCCTCTAGCGGTAATTCTAGCAAATTGCCGCTGGGGGCGACTACTGATGGTCGCCTCTAGCGGTATACCGCTCGGGGCGACTATTGATGGTCGCCTCTAGCGGTACGTACATCTGGGGGCAATTGATGGTCGCCTGTAGCTTCTTTTCAAAGGCTGTTTTCTCCAGAATTCCAGTTGGAATGCGTTCAAGGGCCCCTCAGGCATCTTTCCAGAAAGTTTGGAGCAATTTCATTTTTGGGCCAAAATTGAAAAAAATTGCAAGGGGTTAGACTTATATTTTTGATCAAATTTTGCCCCCCAAAATGACTTTTCTTTAAACGTCGCATAAATGACTTTAGATGGAAGGGGAATATCGTTCAATACCGAAACAGCTATAATTTCGAAGGTTTAGGCAAAAATAATATTTTTTTGAAGAAAACATTCATAATATTGACTGATTTTGCCCAAAACAATTGACTCTTAATTTCTTTTCAAAACCAATGTTTCTCCAGAAATCCAATGGGAATGCGTTCTAGGGCCTCTTAGGCATCCTTCCAGAAAGTTTGGAGCCGTAAAATATTAGTAAAGTAAGCGCGATCAATACAAGCCGAATTCAAGTCAACTTTCATGGAACAAAAATGATACACTCGTTGTGGAGACGATATCTCAACAAATATTTAATGTATTGAATTAAAATTGTATTGAGTGACTGGTCGTCATAGGTAGCACAAACTGTTTGAAATTGGAAAATAATCGTCAAACAATTAAATAATACGACCCGAACAATTTAGCATATTAAACGTGAAAAATACAAGGCGAATTTTACTCAACTTTAAAGACACGAAAGCAACACACTCGGTTTCCAGAAAATAACTCAAAAAGTATCTCTTGCATTGAATTGAAATTACATATATAGATTAATTAAA